AGAACATAATATGTAAATGTTTGACCTGCGGACAATTATTCTGGGAGCTGCTGTTACACCATGTGGCAGTGTTATGCAGCATGAAATGCCCAGACTCTAGAGCCAGTTGCTAGGGACCTGCCACACGTCTTGACTTTGTGAATCTGGTCAACCTCCCCAGATGGCAATGTTCTTATCTGTAAAATTGAGACAATAATAGAACCTACCTTGCAGGGTTTGCATTAGTAATGACTCATTAAATTAACCACCACAGGGTGCCTGTGAGGGACGACGAGGACGACAGTGACAACAGCTAACAAACAGCCAGGGAGCCCTTATCAGGCACTAGGCACTGTTACCAGCTCTAAACATAGATTAATTTGGCTTTAATTCTCATGTCAACCTTATGAGTTATGTTTATCATCAGCCCATTTTATAGCACAATTAGGCTAATTGATTTGCCCAACATCACATAGCTTATAAGTGATAAAATCAGAACTCAAACCTAGTGAGGATCCAGACTCCACACTCCTAACAACCCCCTATCTATTCCTGTGATACGATATACATTGTGCTTATAACACATGTTTCTATGTCTGCCTGGACATAGAAAATGCTTTGCAGCCAGTAAATGTGAGCTGTTACCATTAAAAAGCTAGATCTAGAGTTTATTAACCATTTTTAAATTGAATAATTGTCTATATTATGCCAGTAAACTAAAGATGATTATGTTGGTCAATGTCCTCACTTAACATCATCTATAAGTGGAGACTTTAAGTGAAAAAACACATAACAAAACCAGTTTACCATAGGCTAATTGATTTAAACAAGAGCTAAGTTCCTATGGCATATTTCTAGTCACAAAAACATCACCAAGCTTCTAAATACCCAAAACACTTCTATATTAAATATTGAAGTAAATGTGAGCTATATATTCTGACTCTTCCTGATTCAGTTTTACATGATCTCACTCATTATGTGGAATCTAATAAACAAAATAGACTGAGGAACAAAATAAATCCAGAGACATAGAAGCATGGAAAACACCGAGGGATCTCGGTGGGAAGGCGGAGGTGGGGGAGTGGGTGGGGAGAGATTAATCAAAGGACTTATATGTATACAGTATATGCATAACCCATGGACACAGACAACACTGTGGGGAACGCTGGGGGGGAAAGATGCAGGGCGGAGGGGATCAATGGCGGAAAAAGGGGGACATCTATAATACTTTCAATAATAAAGATAAATTTAAAAAAGAAAGATGAAGAAAAAACATGTAAGATCACTATCTTTCAACCTGCTTACTCCAGTATGGGGTCATGGGTGGCCAGAGCCTCTCCCAGCAACTCAGGGAACCAGACAGGAACCCACTCTGGACAGGATGCCCCTCCATCACAGGGACACTCACACCCACGCATACACTCACTCAGACTAGGACAACGGAGACCCGCCAATTCACGTCACATGCACATCTTTGGGATGTGGGAGTAAACCATAGTCCCCAGGAAAACTCCATAAAACAGTAAAGTTATTATATAAAGTATACTCTACTATTTTGTATTCTACCTTATTTTAAAATAATGATGGTTACCATCCACTTTCATGGGTCCCTATAGGATCTAGCACAGTCCCTGGCTCAAGAAATATCAGTGAATCTAGGTATTTCACACATTAAGAAAAGGGTTTTTCCAAAAAATATGAAAACACTAATTTATAAAGATATCTGCATCCCTATGTTCACTGCAGCACTATTCAGAATGGCCAAGACAGGGCAACAACTGAAGTGTCCACTGACGGATGAATGAATAAAGAAGGTGTGGTACATACATACACTGGAACATGACTCAGCCATAAAAAAAGATGAAATACTGCCATTTGCAGTAACATAGATCTTGAGAGTATTACGCTAAGTGAAATAAATCACCCAGAAAAAGAGCCAAACCCATATGATTTCACTCGTATGAACAAAACAAACAAGAAGAACAAATGAAGCAACAAATGAACAAAACAAACAAGAAACTCATAGATACGAAAACAGAATGGTGGTTAACAGAGGAAGAGGGGTGGGGGAGGGTAGAGGGGTCAAACATATGGCAACAGAAGGAATCTAGACTTTGGAGGTTGAGCATGCAATAGAGTATACAAATTTTGAATTAAAATATTGTACACCTGAAATTTATAAAATGTTAACCAATATTACCTCAGTAAATTTAATTTTTAAAAAAATAAAGAAAAGGGTTTTCAGGTAAAGGTTTAACATATACAATTTTAAATACATTTAAAATATACAATTATTATTTGGTTAAAAGGTCACTAAATAGAGGGAAAACAATGGAACAACAGAGCATGAGGGAATCTTGTGGGTTTTTGGTTTTTTTTTTACTATACTGTACACAGTTCTTGGCTTTCCAACAGAAGATAGAAAGTATGGAAATAATTCAGGTTGGAGCTTCACATAAGATCAATCATTTAGAAAGTGAGATGTATCTGGAAAGTTATAAGAGAGTGGGTCTTTTAAAAATGAATGCATAAGGTTACAGAATGAGTTAAAAGTGTACTTAGCCAGAGAAGGGTAAATAAAACTTAGATTAATACCATAAAGGATTTTAGAGACTGACTAGCCCAAATCCCTCATTTCTTCAGGTGAGGTCCAAAGTGATTCTCACAAGGTCTTGGTTAATTAATGTCAAAGTCAAAATGCTGAAGCAGGCATCCTGCCTCCCACAAGTATGCTTTTTCCCCCCTAGTCTAGGACACAGGAATCCAATGTAAAATGAAGTAATGAGAGATTTAACATGGGAAACAAGGAGTTTCCTGAATCTGAACATTTTAATTACTCTCACTATCCAAATAATTCACTAGCAATTCAACCGTACAGGAGATGATGGGCTGTGTCCTCTAAGACACAAAACACACCAGGATAGAACATAAGCCATTCAAAATGCATTGGAAAGTGGACATGCTGATATTAGAAGAAATGAACAGCCCAATCTCATTAGATTTGGTGGTAGTGGGGAGGAATAAAACCTCACATCCTTGCTGGCCTCTGAAAGATGGGCTTCAGGAAGAGGCAGGTCACCTCTTAGCAGATGCTGCTGAGAGTGGTGAAGCCTCCCCAGCTTTCAGCAGCACCTCCGAGCTTCCTGCCCAGACAGCCGCTGCCTCCAGCCCCACACCATCCATCTTCCCAGGAAAGGCCTTCTCTCAACTATTTACAACTCAAAAGGGAGTGTTTCTGGAGACACTCAGCAAAAAGCCTATCGCCAGTTCAATAACTAAGAATGCTTTCGTAATAAAGACAGACATGATTCTGTGTCTTGAAACCTACATTTAAAAACAAGATAACCTCTTCAGGGGTAATATAAAGTGGTTCTGGAGTGAACACCTTGACAACATGTAGAGTTCCTCTTATGCTTTCTACAATTTTGCAATTTTTTCCTGTTAGTTTTGCTGTTTTAAGAAAATCTAAGCCTTTATATACAGTTGCCCTTCTAATCCAGAGTCCCCTTTGAGAATGAAATATTATCATCCTCTCCACTCGTCCATGGCTCTGAAGATAAATTAAAAACCCTTCATGCGGCCATAAAGCCCTAAGTGACCAGGCCCCTGTTCCTTGCTAGGTTCCTTCTGTGCCTCTCACCTTCCTTTGCTCTGAGCTCCGGACTCACTGGCTCTTGGGCCACCCCCTGGAGAAGCCACATTCCTTTGAGTCTTGACGCTCTCCTCCCAAGTCCTTGGCACTCTGCTACTCAGCTTCACATTTCCACCTCAACATCACTTTCTCAGAGAATCCTTTTTTGGTTAGACTTGGTCAGATCCACTGAGGATGACAAAGTTTCCTTGGAGACATGTATCACAACTATAACTAAATACCTTATTGTGTAATAGTTCCTAATTCCTTGACTAGAGTGTAACCTCTGTGAGAACAGAAGGCACTTGTTTTGTTCCTGGCTGTCCTCTCAGCATCACAGAGACAGCAGGCTCTCCATAAATATTTTTGAAAAATGTAT